AGGACAATTCGTATCAGCCTCAACTCAACTCGTAACGGACGAAGATTCATAGCGGGCGACAATTCGTAACAGCCTCAATTCAACTCGTAACGGACGAAGTTTCATAGCGGGCAACAATTCGTAACAGCTTCAACTCTACTCGTAAGGGACGAAGTTTCATAGCGGGCAACAATTCATTACAGCCTCAACTCAACTCGTAACGGACGAAGTTTCATAGTGGAAAACAATTCGTAACAGCCTCAACTCAACTTTTAACGGACAAATTTTCATAGCGGGCGACAAATCGTTACAGCCTCAACTCAATCCGTAACGGACCAAGTTTCATAGCGGGCAACAATTTGTAACAGCCTCAACTCAACTCGTAACGGACGAAGGTTCATAGCGGGCAACAATTCGTAACAGCTTCAACTCTACTCGTGCGGGACGAATTTTAGCGGGCAACAATACGTTACAGCCTCAACCCAACTCGTAACGGACGAAGTTTGATAGCGGGAAACAATTCGTAACAGCCTCATTTCAACTCGTAACGGGTCAAATCGGATATCGGGCAACAATTTGTAATAGCCTCAACTCTACTCGTAACGGACGAAGTTTCATAGCGGGCGACAATTCGTTACAGCCTCTACTCAACTCATAACGGACGAAGCTTCATAGCGGGCCACAATTCGTAACAGCCTCAATTCAACTCGTAACGGACGAAGTTTCATAGCGGGCAACAATTCGTAACAGCTTCAACTCTACTCGTAAGGGACGAAGTTTCATAGCGGGCAACAATTCATTACAGCCTCAACTCAACTCGTAACGGACGAAGTTTCATAGTGGAAAACAATTCGTAACAGCCTCAACTCAACTTTTAACGGACAAATTTTCATAGCGGGCGACAAATCGTTACAGCCTCAACTCAATCCGTAACGGACCAAGTTTCATAGCGGGCAACAATTTGTAACAGCCTCAACTCAACTCGTAACGGACGAAGGTTCATAGCGGGCAACAATTCGTAACAGCTTCAACTCTACTCGTGCGGGACGAATTTTAGCGGGCAACAATACGTTACAGCCTCAACCCAACTCGTAACGGACGAAGTTTGATAGCGGGAAACAATTCGTAACAGCCTCATTTCAACTCGTAACGGGCCAAATCGGATATCGGGCAACAATTTGTAATAGCCTCAACTCTACTCGTAACGGACGAAGTTTCATAGCGGGCGACAATTCGTTACAGCCTCAACTCAACTCGTAACGGACGAAGATTCATAGCGGGCGACAATTCGTAACAGCCTCAATTCAACTCGTAACGGACGAAGTTTCATAGCGGGCAACAATTCGTAACAGCTTCAACTCTACTCGTAAGGGACGAAGTTTCATAGCGGGCAACAATTCATTACAGCCTCAACTCAACTCGTAACGGACGAAGTTTCATAGTGGAAAACAATTCGTAACAGCCTCAACTCAACTTTTAACGGACAAATTTTCATAGCGGGCGACAAATCGTTACAGCCTCAACTCAATCCGTAACGGACCAAGTTTCATAGCGGGCAACAATTTGTAACAGCCTCAACTCAACTCGTAACGGACGAAGGTTCATAGCGGGCAACAATTCGTAACAGCTTCAACTCTACTCGTGCGGGACGAATTTTAGCGGGCAACAATACGTTACAGCCTCAACCCAACTCGTAACGGACGAAGTTTGATAGCGGGAAACAATTCGTAACAGCCTCATTTCAACTCGTAACGGGCCAAATCGGATATCGGGCAACAATTTGTAATAGCCTCAACTCTACTAGTAACGGACGAAGAATCATAGCGGAGGACAATTCGTATCAGCCTCAACTCAACTCGTAACGGACGAAGATTCATAGCGGGCGACAATTCGTAACAGCCTCAATTCAACTCGTAACGGACGAAGTTTCATAGCGGGCAACAATTCGTAACAGCTTCAACTCTACTCGTAAGGGACGAAGTTTCATAGCGGGCAACAATTCATTACAGCCTCAACTTAACTCGTAACGGACGAAGTTTCATAGTGGAAAACAATTCGTAACAGCCTCAACTCAACTTTTAACGGACAAATTTTCATAGCGGGCGACAAATTGTTACAGCCTCAACTCAATCCGTAACGGACGAAGTTTCATAGCGGGCAACAATTTGTAACAGCCTCAACTCAACTCGTAACGGACGAAGGTTCATAGCGGGCAACAATTCGTAACAGCTTCAACTCTACTCGTGCGGGACGAATTTTAGCGGGCAACAATACGTTACAGCCTCAACCCAACTCGTAACGGACGAAGTTTGATAGCGGGAAACAATTCGTAACAGCCTCATTTCAACTCGTAACGGGCCAAATCGGATATCGGGCAACAATTTGTAATAGCCTCAACTCTACTCGTAACGGACGAAGTTTCATAGCGGGCGACAATTCGTTACAGCCTCTACTCAACTCATAACGGACGAAGCTTCATAGCGGGCCACAATTCGTAACAGCCTCAACTCTACTAGTAACGGACGAAGAATCATAGCGGAGGACAATTCGTATCAGCCTCAACTCAACTCGTAACGGACGAAGATTCATAGCGGGCGACAATTCGTAACAGCCTCAATTCAACTCGTAACGGACGAAGTTTCATAGCGGGCAACAATTCGTAACAGCCTCAACTCTACTCGCTACGGACGAAGTTTCATAGCGAGCGACAACTCGTTAAAGCCTCAACTCAACTCATAACGGACGAAGTTTCAAAGCGCAAAACAATTCGTAACAGCCTCAACTCAACTCGTGACTGACGAAGTTTCATAGCGGGCAACAATTCGTAAAAGCCTCAACTCTACTAGTAACAGACGAAGATTCGTAGCGGAGGACAATACGTATCAGCCTCAACTCAACTCCTAACCGACGAAGTTTCATAGCGGGCGACAATTCGTAACAGCCTCCACTCAACTCTACTCTAACGGAAGAAATTTCATAGCCTACGACAATTCGCTACAGCCTCAACTCAACTAGTAACGGACGAAGAATCATAGCGGAGGACAATTCGTATCAGCCTCAACTCAACTCGTAACGGACGAAGATTCATATTGGGCGACAATTCCTAACAGCCTCAATTCAACTCGTAACGGACGAAGTTTCATAGCGGGCAACAATTCGTAACAACCTCAACTCTACTCGCTACGGACGAAGTTTCATAGCGGGCGACAACTCGTAACAGCCTCAACTCTACTAGTAACAGACGAAGATTCGTAGCGGAGGACAATACGTATCAGCCTCAACTCAACTCCTAACCGACGAAGTTTCATAGCGGGCGACAATTCGTAACAGCCTCCACTCAACTCGTAACGGACGAAGTTTCATAGCGGGCAACAATTCGTAAAAGCATCAACTCTACTCTAACGGACGAAGTTTCATAGCCTACGACAACTCGCTACAGCCTCAACTCAACTAGTAACGGACGAAGTTTCATAGCGGGCAACGATTCGTAACAGCCTCAACTCTACTCGTAACGGACGAAGTTTCAAAGCGGGCAACAATTCGTAACAGCCTCAACTCTACTCGCTACGGACGAAGTTTCATAGCGGACAACAATTTGTAACAGCCTCAACTCTACTCGTAACGGACGAAGTTTCAAAGCGGGCAACAATTCGTAACAGCCTCAACTCTACTCGCTACGGACGAAGTTTCAAAGCGGGCAACAATTCGTAACAGCCTCAACTCTACTCGCTACGGACGAAGTTTCAAAGCGCACAACAATTCGTAACAGCCCCACTCAACTCGTGACTGACGAAGTTTCATAGCGGGCAACAATTCGTAACAGCCTCAATTCTACTAGTAACAGACGAAGATTCGTAGCGGAGGACAATACGTATCAGACTCAACTCAACTCCTAACCGACGAAATTTTATGGCGGGCGACAATTCGTAACAGCCTCAACTCAACTAGTAACGGACGAAGTTTCATAGCGGGCAACAATTCGTAACAGCCTCAACTCAACTCGTAGCGGACGAAGTTTCATAGCGGACAATAATTTGTAACAGCCTCAACTCTACTCGTAACGGACGAAGTTTCAAAGCGGGCAACAATTCGTAACAGCCTCAACTCTACTCGCTACGGACGAAGTTTCAAAGCGGGCAACAATTCGTAACAGCCTCATTTCTACTCGCTACGGACGAAGTTTCAAAGCGCACAACAATTCGTAACAGCCCCACTCAACTCGTGACTGACGAAGTTTCATAGCGGGCAACAATTCGTAACAGCCTCAATTCTACTAGTAACAGACGAAGATTCGTAGCGGAGGACAATACGTATCAGACTCAACTCAACTGCTAACCGACGAAATTTTATGGCGGACGACAATTCGTAACAGCCTCAACTCAACTAGTAACGGACGAAGTTTCATAGCGGGCAACAATTCGTAACAGCCTCAACTCAACTCGTAGCGGACGAAGTTTAATAGCGGGCAACAATTTGTAACAGCCTCAACTCTACTCGTAACGGACGAAGTTTCATAGCGGGCGACAACTCGTTACAGTCTCAAATCAACTCGTAACGGACGAAGTTTCATAGCGGGCAACAATTCGTAACAGCCTCAACTCAACTCGTAACGGACGAAGTTTCATAGTGGGCAACAAATCGCAACAGCCTCAACTAAATCGTAAAGAACGAAGTTTCATAGCGGGCGACAGATCGTTACAGCCTCAACTCAACTCGTAACGGACGAAGTTTCATAGCGGGCGACAACTCGTTACAGCCTCAACTCAACTCGTAACGGACGAAGTTTCATAGTGGGCAACAGTTCGTAAGAGCCTCAACTCAACTCGTAACGGACAAAGTTTCATAGTGGGCAACAATTCGTAACAGCCTCAACTCAACCCGTAACGGACGAGGTTTCTTAGCGGGCGACAATTTCGTACAAGCAATAATTTGTTAAGAGGCGAAAATTGGAAGTGTGTTAGGAATGAACGGATCTTAACGGCAGGCAGTCCCAAGAGGGGTAGTCAAGACCCTGAGAGGGCGGGAGGGCTCTTCTCCGGCATGTTGCTTTTATTCTTGTGCAGATTTCGTTTCAATCCTTTTAAATTCTTGTTCATTTTTCATTTGTCCGTGTTTTCAGCGTGCGCCACAGAAGTGTGTTGATATCTGATTGGTGGTACGAAGACTTCCTACTGGACACCCCCGAACCCTCGCTGGGCGCCAACTTCGGATGGGTCTTCGGCATACCCTTCGCAATCATCATCGTCCACTTTGTAACTATACTCGTATTAGATGCTGCTGTAAACAAAGCTAGTCATACATTTTCCATATATGACCTATTTTTACTTATCAGAAGTCTCAAATGTTTTTACGGCACGCTTGGATTGGGTCAAGACATGGAAGAAACTAATTTTAAGTTCTTTTAAAACATACTTTATTACAAGCATTTTGTATCAGAAGCATTTTTTCATAGGTTTTTCGCATGATACTGTCTGCCAAGAAATAGCTAAAGCAAAAACTTATTCATTAAAATAGCTCTCTAAGATAATTTTGAAAAAAAAGCAGACTGTTGCTGTGTAAGTAGCGCAGAAAGTTCCGACTACAATAATAAAAAAATATTTATGTTTTTTTTCAAACTCTGTTGTTTTTTATTTGTGGTGTGATGAAGGATCTGAAAAAAGCGTAGCAGTTAGGCGTACTTAGCAGAAGTAGTAAAAACGCGCATTTCTCGAAAAGTTTGGGAAAAAAATGAAAAGAAAAACAAAAGCCAAAAGAAACTTCTAAAACCAGTAAAACTACCCGGGTTGAAGTCCCACCATTAATTATCGCTTTTTCTGTAGTATTCCAATGATTGCTAATTTCCAGCTCTGATTCATGTATAATTCAGAGTTTTTCATAGCTAAAGCTGCGATATTTTAGAGCTATTTCAGTAATGATTTCGAAGAAACTGAGCGCTAAAACTTAAGAAACTTTATTCATTCTGGTAGCTTTCAAATGAGAGTGTGAGTTGGAAAAATCCTATAAGTGGAGTAAAGCTAAGGCCTGGGAGCGCAAAATTAGCATACATATCTAGTAAGCTGATGATTGCTGGATCGAAAAACTGTAGTTCACTATTTTTGCTCATTTTGATAGATTTTTTTTTGCTGTTTCATCACAGGAAATTAGCCAAATTAACGATAATCCATCGATAAAGTTTTCTAATGTGGCAATGAACAACCAGTAATTTATCAACGATTGCTGTGTTTACTCTTTTTGTTGCCAATTTCAATGTGAACCCAGCACCGTGCGCCCATGGATTCTAATCGATTATAATGGATTCCCGAGACAAAAATAATCGATTATAATCCATTACAGATGTAAAATTCAGACCACGAAATCGATTATATTGTCATTATAATCGATTATTTTTGAAAAAAAAAATAATCCATTATAATCCATTATAATCGATTATAATACATTATTTTTGTCACTGAAATCGATTATTTTTGCCAAGATAATCCATTATAATTGATTATTTTTGAAATAAAAATCCATTATAATCCATTAATCCGATGAATTAGAAAACTAAAGACAAAAAATGTTTAAATTTCCTTCTGAAATGTAACATTTCATGAAACGTAATACGTAGCAACTGCACTATGTAATGAGATAACATGTAATGAGATAACTTTGAACAAAATTGTAAATTTCAAGAATAACCCATCGAAAAAAATCATTATAATCGATTATAATCGATTAAAAATGGATTATTTTGCCTCAAAAACAAGTTTCATTTTCTTTCAAAAATAATCGATTATATTCGGTTTTTATTGATTCGAAAAATAGTTTCATTATAATCCGTTTTTAATCGATTATAATAGATTATTATCGAAATTTTTTGAGACAGACCACGAATATTCAATATAATCGACTATTATCCATGGAACTCCGGTGCGGGTTGTTATACACCAGATCGCTCACTTAATTCGCTCGAAGTTAGACTAAAAATTGAAGTTTCAAACAGATTTTCTCGAAAGTCAGAAATCTTATGAAAAATTTTCCATTGCGTTCGAATCACGACTTAAATGAGTTTTGATGTTTCATTCGACCCATTGAGATGATTAATTGTGGTGTCTCATTTTTTGTGAAAAAATAACAAAGAAAAAAAAACTAAAACACATCCGAAGACTAAGTTCCTCTGCACTTTCAATAGTTGCAAAACAATTGTGGGTATTTGTCAATTTCAATAAAATAAAATCTTTAATCGGATCTAATATCGCAAATGATGACTTTCTGTTAAACCAAAGTAAATAGCATTAACACACTTTTTTGAAATAATATTAAACGGCTAGACAATCAAAACCGAGTAAAACAACAGAAATTAAACAAATTACTTCGAATGAGCTATCAGCATGGCTGAGTTTGTTTTGCTTCTCAGATCCTCTACACTCTGCTGGTGTATCTGGTGTTGCGGCCGGAAAGAGAGTCCACTCCCACCAGCTTCTACCAGATCATGGCCAACGATGACTCATACATCACTCGATTCATTCAGTTCTTCTCCGAACGGTAAGCTGACTTCTATTGCTCATACTAAACTGTTCACAGACAGAAAATGTACAACGAATCACAGGATTACACTTTATTAAAACTAAAATCGCCTGGGAGACCACGATTGGATCTACAGACTCAATTTCAGGTGTCAGAAAAAAAAATTATTTTAAATTTTTTTATTGCAATTTGTTGGTCAAAACAATCCAAAAATCCAAAATTTAATTAAGTCAATCTGAAAAATAATTTAATTGCGAACCATTTGATGTCCCTACACCTCTTTGCAAACCTACACCCATAGAATTACCCCGGAGATTATCCCTAGTTTCTCAAGAGTTCTCGTTTTCTCTGTTTTTCAGAGCCGTGACTCAGTACGCTGTGTACACTTTCCTGTACTTAGTGGGGGTGGGGGTCGCGCTTCTCCTAGCTGTGGTCTGGTGGGAAAGCGAAGAGAGCTGTGCCATCGTCCTCTGCCTTCAGTCTATCGCCCCCCTCTGGAATGGCGGAGAGTTCTACGTCAAGATACTCGCACCCAAAAATTTTGACCCCGCCTCATATTGAACTTTTATATACTGAAAAAGTAACACACGCTCATACGTAAAATCAATTTCGAATCTCAAGTGGTTGAAATCATTTCATTTTGGTTGACGATAATCAATCAAGATAATGACGAAACGTTTGAAAAACGTCGATAATTAAAAGCACAAAATGAACTCATAAATTTGGTAAATGCGACCTAAAATAAAACGAAGAAAAACCATCTGAATACCTTTTTCAAATAAATCATATCAAATTATATCAGTGAATTTAATCTATCACATCCACAGCGTCGATTATTTTTGTAGAAAAGTTGTAAATTTAATTGTAAATAGAACTAGTAGAAAAAAAGAAGTTGTTATTTTTGTTTCTGAAAAAATTATATTAATTTCAATCAGTGAATTAGTTTAGGTATTATCAGCGCACCTCAATCTAAGTTTCAATAAAACTTAACCGTAACAATTATAACCAAATTTGAGCATGTTTTTACAATTAATGGTCTAAGCGGTCAGAACCTCCAAAAATCGCGATTTTAAAGATTATTGGAACCATCACAATTTATTCTTGCAAAAAGACTGCTGAAAAGATGTACCTAAATTATGGATCTCTATGGCTTTGATCTTCATAAAAGTATAAACATTGAAATCTGCGGCCGAGCCTACACATACGTTATATACATGATTAATAGTAGCCTAGAAATTTGAACTTTAAAGGAGAAACATCCAGAAGACGACATAAAAGGCGGGTTTTTGTACTCAAAACTAACTTTAACTTAGAATCCACTTGTTTCTTCTCCTTTTGTTCAAACCTTAAATTTAGCCATATTGAGTGATATAATACTATTGTACCTCCTAGTGATCTCTGTTACTAAGTGAGTTTAAGGTCCGGGATGGCTTTCTCATAGAGTAATTTCGGATAAGGTGCACCCTCTGTTAGTTACGCTATTATTTTCGGCCGGATAGGCTCGTGCAACTCATAAGGTTACTCCTATATCTCCTACTCTTTAATGTTACTCCTATATCTCCTGGTCTCA